TTTCTGGATCACCACCATTCCCGAATAGGTTTATCGGATCTGATGGTACAGATGTCGAGCTCATGGAGACTGGGGTGGTAGGCTGAAAGGATGCCACGCCATCAACCATAGCTGGTCTGACACCGCCATACTCATGCTGTGTGGTAGGTGGGAGGGGTGAGTATTCTGCAGCCACAGTCAGAATTGCGGGTTTACCATCTCTCCCAACACCTGTGAACTTACCTGAAGGGCCGATAAAGCTTGAGAATGGCGGGCACAAGTAATCTCCGAGGCAGCTTGCTAATGGCCCGCCACTCCAACTTGGCGAGAAACAGCCAGGCTCAGCAGCAAAGGCAATAGAAGGTTTGCGGAACTCGTTGTTGGGATCATGATTTGATCGCCCTCTGGGTGGCGACTTCTCTTGGCTCTTCTCATGCCCAGATGCATCGTCCGTATATGATGTTGACATGGTGAGGGGTGGATTGAGACGTGGCCTCTTTTGGGAGTACGACTGCAGCTTGGTGAGTTCCAGAAGAGTGCCAACTGGGACCTCGAGACTCGGTGCGGCTTTCTCAAGCAACAACTGTCGCTGTTCTGGACGATGCAAGTTCAACAGATCGTAAAGAGACACTGTGATAGTCACCTCGATGTCGGGGGCCTGCCTAAGTATATACTGATTGTTGAGCGGCAAGTAGTTGTTGAGCGGCAGGGGTGGGGTCTCAAAACATCCGGGCGATGATCGATGAGGGAAGTCCTGAAGTACTGGCTCGGCAGGCGATTGCTCGGGACAGTAAGCCCGGCGCTTCCTTAAATTGGGGTTCTATACAAGTAACATCAATTCACCGCACATCGGATGAACAAGAAGGGCAGATGAGAGAGTGAGCGCTCAAAGAAGTGGTGCGCCAGGACCGGTGAGGCGGGCCATGGCAAACATGGAAATTGGGGAGGAGGGCTGGTGTAGGGGTATGGGTAGGATGACCCGGAAGAAGCGAAGAGTGTGAAGGCGTATGTATGTATGTAAGTATGCATGTATGTATGTATGTGTGTGCGAATGTGATGGGGGAGTGTAAGTTTGGGAAACATTCGACGGTCTAGCTAGCAGGCACAGAAGATGATCAGATATGGAGATCTTCGTTCTGGGGCCATGCAGCCTACCGCGACCGGGAAGAAAGAAATTGTGTCTCTTACCATGGCGGAGGGAATAAGACTGTGGAGGTATGTCTGACAGGGCGAGAAACACGGGCAAACGAGGATGGGTGGGTGTACTTTGTCGAAGGGTACCGCCAGGTGTGCCGTATTAGGTAAGGTAGGGTAGTAGGTGGAATAGAAGCACGGTGGAAACAAATGACATCCAGCACTAGAACACCCCGGTACCGCTGTGTAGACTGCAAGTAAGCAAGGAGAGGGCCGCTTCAGTACCAAGGTGTACCTAGGGGACGTTGGGGACTGAAGTGAGGTTGTTGCGGAGACCGGGCATCCTCACAGGAGCGCCATCGCCCCGGAGAGAGCAGGCCGTAACGATGAATCAATGGAGAGCTGCAGACAGCGTGACAAAGAGGAGCGAAGAGTGCAGCTGTGGGTGTCAGAACCGTAACCCGTTGAGATAGAATGAGGGAGGGGTGAGAGGAGAGAGGAAGGCTGATGGTGAGGAGTGGAGGTGCCGGTGAGGAACCGGAAGGGAGGCAACCTTGAAGCGAGCTGTCTGTGGACGGTAGCACAGATTTCTCGCTCGAGTGCCGCCAACCCAACGCCTAATTTGCCCGAGTAACAAAATGCTCTCCTTCTCCGACTTGATTTGGCCTACCATCAAGAGGCCAGGTGCCGTCGCAAAGAGGCCAATGTCTGCAGAGCTCAAACAGATAGATGGCGGGCGAGTGGCCAAGCCTGTGAGCCGACGATATCCAGACAATGGAGACGTCCAACAGACAAAAACAGATTTCGACAGCAGAATATGCAGCTAAAATCAAGCCGAACTGCTCTGCTGTCCAGTTCCAGAAGTGATTTGAGTGACGATGAAGGCGGAAGCAAAATCCCGGAGTAAGCAGACGGGATAGATCAGTCACCCCGCAGGCAGGTTGATGGATCTGACGACAGTAGATGGAGACAATGTGTGCGGTGGCCGTGAGGTAAATTGGCCGGTGAAGGCGCTATGCTGTGGTGTTCAACCCAGAAACGGCTTGGCCGCAGGACGGTGAAGAACAAACGGGGACCTCACAGGGGAGGAGTTGCCAACTGAGTTTCGGGTGTTATCTCTACTATGTCGGGCAGTAGGTAGCAGACAGTGGTAGATGGGAGGAAAGGTACTTGGGAGGAACTTTTTTTGGCGCCTAGGTCGGCTTGTCTCACGGGCGTCGGCCAAGCTGAATCCCCAAACTTGTTGCAATGTCATCCGGTGGAGAACCAAGAGTCGACGGCGGGGGTTTTCCAGGTTGAATGGACGTCTTTGTCTCGTAGTGGCAGTGAGGGATGAAATCGGTGAAGGTTTGTAGGAGATGAGGGGGAGAAGAGAGATTCACCGGTCGCGGGGAAGACACGAGTTGACCACGTTTTCTGGCGCTCGGCAGAACCAACCAGCTTCCCGGCACGACCTACGTATGGCACGGGATAGGCAAGATCGGTGGACAGCTTAGATGACGCTGGAGGCTGGGCTGGGGCCTATCTACAGTAAAATGAGAGAAAGTCGGTAATTGGGACGTGAAGGAAAGGGAAACCGGAGTCGAGCGGAAAAACGTTCTCCGTAGAAGGCAAGCCGGCGCCCATGATCCAGGTTGCGCAAGGCCGTTGGATGTTGCAAAGAGTAAGGTTTATATGGGGTAAGGCACCATGGGCACCGACAGTCCAATGCTACCTCTAGGTAGCAACAAGCCCAGGTAGACCAGCGTAGACCAGGGTCCTGGACTTGACGATGTGGCTCAGACACTTTGTTCCCCCATCCAGTCTAATCTCACCACTCACTCCAACAGAAGCCGGCCCATCCTCTAGCCTGCTGCACGTCTGTCGCACAAATTAGGATCGCCTCCCGGTTCCAGGACGACCATTTTCCGAAGACCGTCTCCGATGGCTGTAGCCGTTTGAGTCTCAGTCTTGCACACTTCTCCGAACACCAAATGCCCACAAGGGCTGGAGGCTGAGACGCTATATGAGATCCGCCATATGCCTCATCTTTGCAACGTCCATCTGACAGATGCAAAAGAAGCATGTGGTTTTGGTACCCCGTCGCGAAAGAGCCCCGAGATAGCTTTTTTCGCAGACAGACGATCAACGGGTGTGGCATGGCACCCTGAGAAGCCAAGGGTGGTTGCTGGACACCTCAACACTAGCTTGAGGCAGGAAGCAGGGCGTATTGCACCAGAATCTTTGGCACAGGAATGTTCCCTTCCAGGCTTTTCTAGCCAGGAGCCAGGGCATAGCGGACCCTGATTGAGGATTCAGTAACGTGTAGTCTTCAGAATGTTTTTGTGCATCCGAGCACGATGCAGGGCTGTCGGCCATATATTCCAGGCGTTGTCAACGACGAGGATAAGATGATAGCGACGAGATTGGAGGTGACATGGTAAACAATGCTTACCGGAACAGCTGACTGACCACTTGGAAATCGGTTGGAAATAGCATCCTCAATCTGTCATTCGTCACCACACAATGCGAGTCGCATCGCATCACCTGCATAACCAGTCGTCGTCACCCAAATATCTGAGCACCGGCAGGCAATTCCGTATCGCCGTGATATAGTATGTCGTGCTTACTAGTATAGAGGACAAGATTGTCAAACGGGAGGCCGTGGGCATGGATAAACTGGGGAGCCACAAACCCGTCAATGCCGAGTCCTTTGATACACTCGCTCACATTACCATTTGTGGAAATTGTTGCCTTTGGAGTCATAGATGGGTTGCTGCTATCGTCGCCACTTCGTCGGTGGTGGGATACGGGCATACGGCATACTAGCTCGTGAGTTGGCAATGGGATAAAAGTCGAAGCAGGCCAACATGCCACAATCGCGTGCTGTTACCACTTTGTCATGGAAGGAGACAGGTAAAAGTTATCGGATCACTGAATGCAGGGGTGTAGCCAGGTGTGGTCATCGAGCCTCAGGCTGGCTTGACATATACGTCTGGCAGGAGATAAATCTGTTATCGATCACACACGGATGGCAGATGGTGTTTTCGTAATGTTAATGAAATGCTTGGTAGGAACCTTGATGGCTGAGCCCAGTAAGGCGGCCGTCCGGCCTTTGCTCAATTTCTATCCACGCGTTTGGTGGAGTCGAGATAGTCGACATCGATCCACTTTTTGCCGGCTCCCCAATAGTGTAGTACCCCCGGGCAACCGTGGACAGAGTCCAGTGCATACTGTACAGTAGTTGCCTGCCCAGAGCACTGTCGGCTGCGGGGTACATTGCGGGGAGAGAACAGGGGCCACCTTAGAGAACGGGCAGGGCAGGCAGTATCCGATGCCTCACTCACATGGTAGGCTGGACGCCGGACCCCGACCCCCGACCCGACTACTCTGCTGTCCCAAAGATTGGGAGGGATTATTTCCTGCTCACTTCCTTCAAGCCGCCAGAACCGCCTCCAACAACAGGAGGAGTCCATCGACCCCCTCGCACTGATTGATCAACACAAAAGTCGCGTGAATTGTGGTTGCAAGGTGAAAGTGTCCCTCCTCGTTGAACCAGCATATCGGGTTTCCTACCGAGTTCCCGCAGTCTTCTCCTTGATTCGACATCAGACCCCCAACAACCTATGTATTTCCGATAACCGCAGCTTGCGGTCTCGCCAGGACGACATTCCCCTCGTTTTTTTGTTTATCTTGGCCCTTCTTTTGACAAGTATTCGCAATGATCTCTATCATACGACCACATCGCAGTGTCCACGGTCAACATATCGTTCGTTGTCACGCTGTCCAGGACAGTTGGAAGTCTGAACTATTTTCGGATCAAGCAACGAAGTCATCACATACAAAACACACCGTTGGCAAATGAGTGCATGCAGTCCTATTCGCCAACGCATCTCATTCTGTTCTCGTCTCTTTCAAGGTCCGTCCGCTCGACGCATTGGCTCGTTGTTCCCACCCTGATGCTTAGACTCGTTTCACTAGCCTCCGGTCTGTCTTGGTCGATCCTACCGTCAGACCGGTTTGGCCTTGAAGGAGAGTGGAAGCTCGTATGTGGATATGCTCCAGTGGTGTTCGTTCTGTGGGGACCATTGACTCTGTCTCGATACGCTGTTGGCAGCTACACATCGGGTACCTCGATATGTGACAGGTCGATTCTTACCACCAAGGGCATATGAAATGATATCACGGATCGAGTCTCGTGATACGCTCATGAGAGAGCCTGCTGGATAATATTGGCCAGTTGCGATCGTGGTTTTCGTCGATGCCAGACACATCCAATGGGACGTAGCTTGAACGGTGCGGCGTAGATCATCGCAGCATTGACGCGGCGATAAAACGTCTTTCAGAGCCCATGGTAAAGATATACATATCACACTACATGAAAACGAGGTCACACATCTCATACTCACAAGGCGACTGAGCCAAGTGTTGCCAGAGCAGCAATTTGAGACCGCTGCAATACCACCAAGCTCCCAAGCCCACGTGTTTGTTAGGGCGGACTAGAGCCTCCAGCTGAAAAAGCTTCCATGTATGCGGAAAACCTACTGTTTGATCAAGTTGAATGTACGTAGATATCGGATTCAGCTACATTTCGCTCGAGCTCATCGGCTATGGGAGACCACCACCGGACAGTGACGACAGATGCGGTACCTTTCTGCCACTTGGTGGACATTGTTCGTGAAAGGTCGGCCATAAATCATTGTCAAGACAACGCTCGACAGTAATTCGATCTTTTCCTGCAGCGTGGTTTGGTTACGGATTTCAGAAATATCGCTAACAGCTGGGAACATAAGCCTTTGTCCTTGGACAACACTCACGTCGTTCATTCTTCCCCAGACCAGGGGCCTGGATTTCCCATGACGACACTGAACTACTCTTGTTCTTGGAGTATTGTGTAAAAGATCTTGAAAGGTCATTCAACTGCTTTCAAGAATCAAACAGTGGCTACGACTGAGGGAATGTCCAATAGGTAGCTCAGGAAGAAAACTTCTAACGCCTTTCACGCAGTATGGGACATGTGTCGATTCCCAAGTCTGGTCTACTCTAACATGCTTTCGAATCAACCGGATCTCAGCGAGCCGTACGGCCTCTACGGCCTCAAGAACGAAGCGCGGATATCATCAACTGATGCTATACTCATGAACCGCACTCGATCAGGATACCCCTCTCTTTCCTCGACTCAAGCAGGACTGCTACTGGTCTCTAGAAGGATCTATTAGTCACGAAGAGTTGAAGATCATGAAGACACAACGTGGGGAGTGCCAATTACTGTATGTACGCTGAAATATGAGAGATATCATGATCTAGGCCTTGGGACATGAGCATTATCCCACATCTAGGAAGAACCGTAGCACGCGTACTAACACGGTCTGTTGCTCTCATTGAACGAGCTATGACACTGGCTCTTTGGATGGCTTCATGAAACGAACCTCAGATGAGGATAGAGGTCGAGTGTAGCAATCCCTGTGTGCCAAGCACCCATTTTGGTGTTTGTTGCTCAATCCGCCAAGTGCCATATTGCTTTGTTGGTTCAGTACGATTGCCCATTGCGCGTCATCACTAGGTGAGTTGAAAATATGTCCATGTCAACCGCCAATGGAAACAAATGGCCGCAAGGACATTGATATCCGAAGGCCAGCTTGATCCGCGAGCAAGCTGTCAACGTGAGGGCCAACAACACAATCAGCGACAACTGTTCTGCCATTTTTATCCATTCTGGGATACTCCTGCATGGTTTCCACTGTAGCAAACACTCGGTGAGAGTTCGGGCGGGTCGAGACCTTGCCACGATAGTCCACATCACGTACCGGCCATGCAGCAAGTGGGCTATTGACGGATATGAGCCTCGCCTCGGTTATGAGACTGACAGCAACTAAGGAGACTGGCCCTTTGAATATACCGTGCTGAATTGAGTACCAAAGGAGGCATACTCACATATTGAAATATTTACACCTTACGACTCCAGCGTCGTTGACAGTCCTCGGTCAATCGGGCCAGCTCAATACAACTCCGACTCGACCTGCAGTGGTAAATCCCGGCCGCACCTTCCTCTGACGGTCAGATCCGATTACACCTGATGCCCACAACTGCGAAAGAAATAGGCAAGAGCTTTCTTTTCGTTCTCTAACCCAACGTCCTTTCTCTTTTTTCCCACTCCCGGGTGACGACGACGTCGGGTGTTTGGCTTTTTCTTCTTTTTTTTCCGGGAAGAAAGAGCAAGCCTTGAGACAGCCAAATGGCTCTTTCCTGCTCGGGTGCCATCATCTCTTGATCTTGACATTCTGTTGGCCTGTACTGTCATGTCAAATGAAAATCGAGGACATTGAATATGGGCTAACTAGCTGAAATAAGCTCCCTTTTCCAGCATCTTCGTGTCATCCTTGTATTCTTGCAGATTGGCGTTGAGTCACTTCTGCATCGATAACTGTGGCTGTCTATTGCGGTCACCTTAGCCACTTTCTCGCATCTCTTGCGGTGTCAGAGTCCAAAGTGGTCGCGATCAACTACCTGTAGTTGAACAGTTAGCCCCAGTTGTTGGTGAGAAGGACATCGTGAGACAACTGCTCGTTACCAGCAAAACCCTTACTGTTAGTATCTCCATCGGGTGCTTCGTCCGCGTTTTGCTAACGCAATTCTCAAGTCATAGTGTTCACGGCCACCATACCTCAAGCAGTTTATCTTCCACCCCTTCGGCGAGACTTCTTTGGAAGTCAGTAAGACACAATGAAGCTCACTTCAGCATCCATCCGTAACGTTATCCACCCGACAGCTGCCTTTATACCGAGCGTTCCAAAGTTCTCAAGCCATCCTTCCACCGAGCCAGAATCTCAGTCGTGGCTCCACTCCCAACTGAACCCCAAGAACCGAATCGATAGTCTCGAGTTACTGGAAAATCCCCTTTGGAGAGTCGATGGGTGTACCGGCCAAGGAACTCAGTTTTGTGTATTGCCTCTGTTCCTAGGAAACCATATCCCGCCCCTTCGGTTTGATGTGTTCCTCCCCCAGGAAGCGGGCAGCTGCCAACGGCTACGGGACCTCCTCGACCTGGATGCCGCTTTCCACACCAAGGATACCGTCCGAGTACAGAGGCTCGGCATTTCGCGTCATATCCTGCGAACATTGCAAGCGTGGACTCAATCAAGTCAACAGAGCGACAACAAGCATAGCTGTGCTGAGATGTATAGCAGGAACTTGCCCTTTGGATCCCGAATCATCTTCGAGAATCTCGAGTTTGATATCCGCAACATCAAAATTACTATTGCCCAAACGTTCCACCTCGAGGGACAGCTCCTTGGACTTTCGAAGCTCGGGGCCCAGCTTGGTCTGCCTCAGGATAATCTTCCGGAGCCGATAGACATCTTCAAGCTCCACATCGTGCGCCAACTTACCGAGAGTGTGTGCCTTGTTTGCATAGAAGACGATGATAATGATAATGGGATGGCCATGGCCACAGACGACGTCGCCAACGGAACAAGGGCGAAGAAGAAGAAGCAGCTCTGGATCTTGAAGGCCTTGACCAGCGGCACCAAATACCTCTACACCGAACTGCGTAATCTGCTGCAGATGCCACCCCACCCCCATGTCATCTCACGTCCGGTACGTCTTGTGACCAAGCAGTGTCAATTTGGAGGCAAAAACGCAGTCGTCGGATTCATTATACCCTATCATTCAGGTGGAGGCCTCAGAGACACCCTACCGCTCCTTCGCATCCACGGGCAGCCTGCGCTCAAGGACCAACTTAAATGGGCGATTCAGCTGGCTCAGGGTCTGTTACACATCCTTAACAAAGGCCAGATGTACTATCCCGATTTCCGTCTTGACAACATCCTCCTTTCCGAGGCCGGGGACATAGTCATGGTAGACTTCGAGCAGCGCGGGCTGTGGTGCGAATTTGGCGCGCCTGAGGTGAACGCCCTGGATTATGTACGCATCCTAGCCAGTGACAGCTTGCTCGAAGACAATGATCTGGGCCTCTGCATACCCGAGGACATCATAGCGAGATACGCCGCTCTGCTCACGCGGGAGTTGCCAGACTGGGAAGCCCTAGAAACCTGTGAGAACTACAGCCAACGGCCGGAAGGCCACACCAGCTTCAACATCGCATGGCTATGCCTCTCAAAGGTGGAACAGGAGGCAGCGGTGGTATATATGTTGGGAAAACTACTCTGGTGCATCTTCGAAGGCCAGAGTGGCCCGGACAAGGCCGCTTTTTGGCAGTCCTATGCTCGCGAGCCTGATTTGCAGTTCCCAGCGATGAGACAAACCCCTGCTGGGCTGCGAGACTTGGTGGATCAGTGTACCAGGGGACGAAGGGGGATTCTGTCGAGCCTGATCACGCGGCGGGGCAGTAAATTGGTCTTGGTGCGCGAGAAAGACACTCCTCAAGAGTCTTGTTTACTTGATGGTACTGTCACTGATGAGGAGGAAGAAGAAGAAAAGATTATTCAAGTCGCGAAGAACTGGTGGATTACAGAGGTCAAAGCTGCGGAAGACTTTTTGCAGATGCGACATGAGATGAAAGAGCGTGGTGAGTGGGACGAGAACTACTTTGACCGACCGAATCTCAAAGAGGTTATCAACCGTCTTGAAGATTTTCAGAAACGGAGTTTGCAATTTGTTGAGTAGCACGATACACTCGATCAAGGGAAAATCTGGTTTCTGATTTGCTTTCGCATTTGCACGACTTCACCAACTCCATTCGTGAGTATTTCATCCTTTCTGTGTTCTTACATAGTTAGTCTCATTCTTTACTTCGGGAGTCTACCCAGAAAATTAAATATAAGCGCTCGCACCCTGTCATTTCTACGAAAATAAGTCATTGTTTATGATGAGCGCTTCCTGTCAATAGTCAATGTTTAGTTATCAAAGTGTTCTCTCTGTCCGACTGGCTTGTGGCAGACAAACAGCAGTACGGCACTTCCCCCCTTTTATTCGTCCACTTTTTTTTTTTTTCCATTATCTTCTTTTGCTAAGAAGTTTCCAACATTTGATAACAAGATACATTCTTTCTCGATTCGATAGTGTCTCTCTTTGACTCTGCTCTTTGTCTGCTTCACGTTGATCGTGTTTTTTTTTTTTTTTCCTACGCACCAGTGTTTTCCCCCAACTTTCCCCGTTGACTTGCTTTTTGGAGTTTCCACTTCGGCCTAATCCCACTGTTGGTGGCGTTCAATGCGCCACTGGCTCAACTTGGCTCGTTTAGTTGGGAGTATTTAGAAGAGCATTCAAATGATAGACACATTCACCAGAGGAGGGGAAAAAAAAAAAAAAAAAAAAAAAATTGTAATTGTGAGATGCCAGCTAGAGCTGTGAGACAGAAGCTGTCTATATATGTAGAGAAACAAAAACGACAATTTCGGAACCATGGGGATGTTCGGGAAAAAATCTAAATCTCGGGCGCTTTTCGTAGTGTGTGGATGGGCGAAAGCGGATTCGCTTGTGAAAAGATATTCATATTATGATTCTTTGCTACTGCTGAGAGAGTTAGGGTTTATAATGCTAGTGTCTCAGATATGTCTTGATGCCACGTGATTTTCAGATTGAATTAGTGTATTGTGATCGAAATCTTTGAGGAGTCCGTAACACTGCTGTTGCTACTCGTAGTAGAACTGAGAGAGACTGAGATGATGTTGGTCAGGTGAATGGCATATTTAGGGGGAAATCCATTCATCATT